AGTAGGTTTGCATTTTGACATGGGTCTGTGTTGTTTTGCAGTGTGTGGGATGCTCTAACTGACAACTACATCGCCACCTGGGACGGCACCGACTCGGAAGGAATCAACGGCAATATCTCTGACCAGGAGGTACATTTCATGCCACGCCTTCATGTTTCGTTTAAATCTAATTAATATAATATAATATACATGTAGGAATAGTTTTGCACTATTTCTATGCAATTTTTTTCTCATCAATAGTAAAAAAGCACCTTGAGTTGACTCTTGCCGTAAATTAGTATTAAATATAAACGAATACACTAAACTGATAGCAAACTATTCTGATGAGCATCCTTAACACTGTGGTGTAATACGGGTGCTGAATGAATGGGAAGCTCATTCTCTGGTCCACTCTAATGTTTGTTTACACATTTCATCCTTACATGAACACGTCTGACCCAGAAAATTCACCTCACAGTCAAATATTTACAGTTTGTCTATTCGCTTGCTATGAATGGTTAACTACATCCACTAATTTCTGTGTTTGTAAGGATAATCATGATGCTTTTCTTAAAGACAAATGCTGTGTGTCATTATTTTCCATCTTGATGTGCTAAAATGAATTGTATGACTAGTTTCTGCTCCTGTAAGATTCATTTCATGCTGACAATTGAAAGCATGCCTGACCACTCTTGACTGGTCTGGCATTCAGCTGAGCTCTGCCTCCTCCTCCTCTGTTTCCTTGATTGCCTGTCAGATTCAGCTGGACAGCAGACACTTAGCGCTCTACGCCATGTTTGGACTGGTGAAGGCCAGAGGAGCTGTGGTTATCACAGGAACAGAGGGTGGCTGTGGAGATGTATCACATTCATGCCTTCAAGCTAAAAGTTTTATACCTAGAGAGACACAAAATATTTAACATATGACAGCTTCCTGTGAGGACAATCGTTTCTCTGCATTTATACCTCTGATTGTTTCTCCTGCCACACTTTTGAAATATTATAAAAATGTGGTTCTATTTAACTCGAACTGAGTAGAGCCACAAAATAGATTTTCCTTTTGTAACATGGATTTTTATCACTTTCTCATTATTGTATCAGCATTGAGGAACGGATAAACTGTTAAATGCTAAGTTGATAATAAAACATATGGTAACAGTGCCTAATTAAAAAATATTTGGTGCATGCACCATCATATGTGATCATGCTATCTATTTGCTCAATAGCACCACAGACAAAGTATAGCTGAGGCTTAATGGAAACCCATAAGTTTTGAACGTTGCAAGAGCAGCCATGATCAAAGTCAAGAGCGCTGCAGCCAACTGAAAAATCAGAAAATTCATCTTCAATAAAAGTTCAAGAGAAAGTGATGTATTTCTCAAATGTTATTTGAAAAATATAAAAACATAAGCTGTTTCACTATAGCTTGCTAATGCTCAGTCATAGTGACCCATCTGCCACTGGGACACAAACGTCAGGCTAATGAGTAATATCACAAACTAACCAGCTTCTATTCGAATGTTTTATTCACTTTTTTTATATCGATAAATACATTTATAAAAAATATTTAACTCAATATACTTGCGAGTCATTTCAAACTGTTCTGTTAGTGCTGTAGCCCATCTAC